TCCTACAAAGTAAATAACGCACATGATTAGTGGTGTCTTCTATCATGAAAACTAAAGGATACTTGCTAGTTTGAGATACCAAAGTTCCTGTCTCCTTTAAAGTTCTTTCCCATTGGTGGATAGATTTTGGTATAGGAGGATCAACATTCCATTATGTTCGGATACGTCGCTGTAACCTCGTGACTGATTAAAATTCCGTTAACCAAAGCACACACTGCACCTTTGGCTATGGGGTCCACATCTTAACTAATTAAATCAGTGTAACAAGTTTATCATCTGCTATTGCCGAATAATAAGTGCAAGTGCGGCCGATCGGACTAGACCGAAAAAAATTCGGACGGGCTTCCTATCCACGGATGAACATTTTATTACATTCTGATGGGTAGTTCCATAATAATAAACCATAACTTATGGATACTTTTAGCCTGGACACCCTGTATTATCCAACTAATAAGATTTCCCTCCCCAGTTATATTATAGTTCTATTCCATTTATATAGCAAAGTTCATCTGCATGTCACGTCTCTTTTGTGAAAAGGTGACAGTTCAAACGTTTAATAACATAACAGAAAGTTAATTTTAGAACGGAAAACCTCATGAGATACGAGGGCTATCCTGAAAATAAAAGCCTTTTAGTTATAAAGAATAAAAAATAAATAAATAAAAAATAAAAAAATAAAAACATTTCTTGAAAAAAAACACACTTCTTTTGTATAACTAGAAGCTTCCTTCACTTCCCTACATAATCATTCCCAACATTGAAACACTTGTATTTATATATCCGCAAGCTTCAGAAATCCCATATTATATTCATCTGCCGCTAGTGCTTTAACCAACGTGATTACTGCATTCAACTTTCCATCTCTTCCAAAATAGTTACCACCCAGAAACTCTTTTCCCAGAAAAAAACCTCTTTTCCCTCAGTAAGGGAAAAAATGGTTATCACTAAGAGCACAAAGTCCGGACTATTGGTCTTTTGGTTTTTCGACGTAGGAACTCAGAAGTTTGTGTAGAAATACGACAAATGCTTGAATGTAGGAAATGATTATGAAGAAATGTGAAGGAAGCGTCAAGTTTTGCAATAAAATTGTTGTTTTTTCAAAAAATATTGTGTTCTTTTATTTTTTTATTTGCGCGGGATGACTCTTTCATATAATTCGTTACGGAATTATTAAATTAATAAATAGTGCATAAAAAAGAGAAGAAATGAGATAGCGAAACACTAGCTTTATTAAGTGTTATTTTCTTTATCGAATTATAATTAGAGAACCCATAGTCATGAACAACTTGTTTAATACTTATTAAATAAATAGAAGAGAAAAAACACTGTTTTTTATTTGAACGATATGTATATCTTATACCTGGACATCTGTTTTTCATTTTGCCAAAATTTTAATGGATGTTAATGTATGTTGTCCATCATATCGAATAGTCTAACAAAATGTGTCAATTTATTGACTTCCAGAAGAATTTCTATGAAATAAATATCGAGTACAATAATGTGAAGGACATTTTAATTTAAATCATATAAAACTAAATGAAAATTGCAATACAACTCCAACATATTCGTTTTCTTAGTTTTGTCCTCATTTATCTATTTATATATATATTGAAAATAAAAATAACCCGTGTAAATTAAAACTCGAGATGCCTACTTTTATATAATTTTATTATTTATAACATTCATTTCGGTGATTTGTTACATATTTATCTTCTTCATTTTATTCGTTTGTATTCGTACTTTTTAACGGTTTTATATTTGACATTTTATGTTTTTCCGTTTTTATCTATGTGCTAAATTTTTATTAATATTTTATGTTTGTTTTGATACGTTATGTTTATGTCATTAAATTACTTCTAATATTAATATTTTTGTTCATATTTCCTTTTTGTGTACATATGTGACCACAAAGACCGAATGGGCATCATACCAAACTAACGATCGACGTCATTTCCGACATGAGATCCAGTCTTACGGCTACTGTAAACCAGCCATGTTGTGAGAGACTGATGCACATTAAATTTGTCAAGGCTCAAAGTCCTCTAGTTGATGTGGTATGGAAGTTTGAGGAGTGAAATACCAGCTCTGATGTCATCCTCACGTCGTGTCATCTTCACAAAATTAAGAAGTACATCGCCAAATGTGACCACGATGTCCTAGTGGTTCAAGGAAGATTAGAACTTGGTACCTTCCAATCCGAAAAGGAGTATCTTAGCCACCATGCCCAAACGATCGTCATAGCATGGAGGCTATTACTGGTTTATTTAGATAACACCACCACACTTCTCCCTTGCCAGTGATTCGGTGAATAGGCGAACGAACGATACCATATTCGTTTCAAACGTGTGAACAATTGCGTCATTTTGAGTGAGACGGCTTTGTGGGTTGCGTCATTTGTGCGTGATGGCTTGTGGGTTGCGTCATCGTATGTGACGGCTTTGTTGCATTTGCGGCGGACAGATGGCATAACGACTGCTGCGGTTCTTTTGCACGGCTAGGGTTATTAATGAAGGATGATTAGATCTGGGTTCCTTCTAATCCGAAAACGAGTATCTCAGCCACCATGCCAAAACGATCGTCATAGCATGGAGGCTATTACTGGTTTATATAGATATCACCGCCACATGATTATTGTAACGAACTCGTGAACGGTGTATCACGGGATTCTGGAGTTACGGATGCACGTTAATCTCTCGAACTCAAAGTCATCCTATTTGTGTGGAGTGGTGGTTTGAAGAGGGGGTGCTAGATCATTTGTTGTCTTTGTCACTTGACCGTGGCTCAAAATTGCGAGGACTGTCGCCAAACCATGTTGCTTTATGGGGTATGTTAATTTTGTGTCGAGACCTCTGATAATATAAACAATTTTTGATCCGATGCAATTCTTTGAGGTTAAAATTAAATTATTCTAATCTTTTAAACAATATTTATAAACGAATGAAGCTTCAAAAATGTAAAATGTTTGAAATATATAATCATAATTTTAAAAATTATAAGCATATGAAAAAAAGAAACACCTATAATAAATATTATCTAAGTTTTACGTTGCGCATGATATTTTCTAAAATAGTAGCTCTAATTACTAGCAAAAAATAATTTATTATTTTATTTATATAGCTATTTTTATATAAATAAAATAATAAATTATTTTTTAAAAAAATAAGATACATTTTTAATTTTTTTAAAATTTTAAATATTTTGAAAAAACAATTTTTTGTACAAAAAGTATACAATTCTAAAATTAGGTAGAGTTTATACAGTATGATACATTTGATATTTTTTTAAGGTTTATACATTAAAGGCTACTATTTTAGAAAATAGCATTCTCAAGTTTTTTAATTTACTTAATATTAATTACAAAAAAGTTTTTTATTGTCATGTGCCTATAATTTTTAAAATTATTAATTATATTTTAAATATTTTGCATTTTTTTTTTTTTTTTTAGATTTTATTCGTTTATAAATAATGTGTAAAAGAACCGAAACATTTAATTTTAATGTCAAAGAATTATACCTATTTGAAAATTGTTTACATTTTCATATTTCTCGGTACAAAATTAACACCCTTGAGACCCCTTATAGTGCAGCATTCATGTAACTCTCTCCCTCTTCATCGCCAATAGACCTTGAGGTGTTTCGAAATACAACGTGAATAAACAATCACTCAATTTTTATATTAATATTTTATAATTTTGTTTTTATCTTCTGTTTATTGCTATCCTCATCTATCCTGCTTGCATAAAAATGTTTTATACTAACTGGAAAAAAATTAATAATTATTTATTTCCGTTACATTGAAATACTTAATCATATTTATTTTAAAAGCAATACACATTTCTGTTTTGTATTAAAATATTCGGATTACAACATTCCTTGGCGAAGTTTATGCAATTTATATGTATAAAAATGGATATTTGTATATCTCAAATCTCTTCACACTAACACCGTTCAACCGATCACTATGAATATATTGGCATATATACTTATTTTTTGTGGAGAAGGTTTTTGTGCTATCCTTTCCGTTGCAGCTCCCTACAACGTGGCGCTACAGCATATTAACTTCTTCACCGTTCAATCAATTACCAAGTTGCCTACAGGGTCGCCAAAAATGATGCCAATTTGGCTCTATCGCCAACATTTCGCTATGTTTCCATTGAATCCCCATTATAATATAAGGAACGGTGTTGCTTGCGAATCTTACAATTTTAACATAAAATAAATACAACAGAAAGTAATATTAACGTGTTATATATCCAGATATAAATTGCTTACATTATTTTAAGAGTTCATTACACAAAATGGGTAACATTGTGTTACTTTTGCTGAACAGAGATCAGTTTAGGAAGGTGTTTTCAAAAATCAACACACAAGAGAGACAGGGAGTTATAAATAAAAAAAAAATCCCCTTTTTATAAGCTTTTAGATCTACCGACTTAAAATTTAACAAATATGGTTTTTTCGTTCAGCTAAGATAAGTAAAAAGCTTTTTTTTTAAAAAAAATTGTTTGATTTGCAATTCACGTCAAATTAGCTCATTAAAATCTTCTTTATCCTTCAATCTGTAATTTCTCAATTCCCCCGTTCGAAGAACGGGTATATACCAGCTGGTATTTTAAATAAGAAAAGTTATCAAGTATAAATTTTGAAAACATTTGAAATAAAGTGTGTGTGTGTACTTATGTACGCACTTAAGAAGTTATACGTCTTCGGCGTAACAAGATTAAAATCTTTCTAAAATTCTTTAGCAGGGCAAGCTGGGCCAAGGACGAAAGGCGATCACGAGCAGAGTTGAGCGATACTAACCTTCAGTCAATCGGACCAGCCAAACCTGAGATAATCACGATTTAAATAAATTTAAACGCCCCCGCTCAGGAACAATAGGACCAATAATATGGGGAGGGGGTTGAAGGCGGGAATGATATGTCTCGCGTTCTGCATATTTCTAGACAAAATATTTTCGTATTGATTCCTACGGAATGCAAAGCAAAGATTCGCTGACGCGGGAGTATAGCTCAATGGTACAGCATTTGACTGCAGATCTAGAGGTCCCCGGTTCAAACCCAGATGCTCCCTGCTTCAAGGAAGAGAAGAGAAATATTTTTTTGAGAAATTCGAAGGCAGGAATGTGATCTGTCCCATTCTGCATATTTCTAATCAAAGCATTTTCGTATCCGTTCCTATGGAACACAAAGCAAAGGTTCGCTGACGCGGGTGTATGGTTTAGTGGTAGGGCATTTGACTGCAGATCGGGAGGTCCCCGGTTCAAACCCGGATGTCCCGTTCTTCAGGGAAGCGAAGAGAAATATTTTTATGAGAATTTCGAAGGCGGGAATGATTTGTCCCGTTCTGTATATTTATTGACAAAGGATTTTCGCATCCGTGACGGTTCTGCGTCACATCCGTGACGGGGTGCGCGCGCATTGTAAAAATTTACCCTCTTCCTTTTTCTCTAACGCCCCAAAAGAAGTATAACTTCAAAAATAAAATTACAAATCGGATCTCACATTTTATTTCAACGCGTTATCAAATAATGAAGTAAAATATTTTTAAAATCTGAATGCTGCCTGTGACAGCAACCACGGGGAAGAAATATGATTCAACTCCTTTTTAATCCTTTACATTTCTGTTGACAGCGAAGAAATATGTCCCTTTCGGTATTTCATAAACAAAGAAACAAACGATCTATAAGATCCACAGGCGTTGGAGTTGTTTTAAAATGAAACAAAACCTGTGTGTGTAGAAGAGTTTCAAAGGTTGAATTGGTGATATATCGTAGAATTGGTTTCGCCTTTTCAATCTTATTTGACTAGTCAGCGCCACTCAGTAAATGTAGATACTTGAGAGGATTTTTTGTAAGCCCAATGGAGCTCTTTTAAAAGAAACTCCTTGTTCGCACCGAGAACTTTAAGGTTTATTTTTAGATTTCATGAGTTCTACGCTTCTCTTCTCGATTTCAATTTAGAAGCACTTATTTGATTTGTCGCTCTTTACTTCTTAACTGGAGAAAAAAAGCAGGATGCGTTTATGCATTTTTTATGTTAGAAATCAAGGTCATTTAGAGTGTGATTTTTAGAAGCAAATCTTCTATTTTAGAACAAACAATTATTTATTTATTTACTCCGCTTGTCCGATTGGGCATTTTACTTGAATGTTTGTGTACTTTTAAGTATTGATAAGGAATTCATTAATTAAGATTACGAATAAATGCATTTTTTTATTAAAAAAAATGCTATACTTAAAGATATATATGAAAGTAACATTAAATATTTAGAATGGAAAATATTAATTAGTGCTAAATAATACAAAACTGGAGCTACAGATATGTTTGAACGTATTAATTAATATGAAGCTCAATTAAATTTATATACTAGTGTGGATTGCGTTTCTATGAAGAAAAAAATTATTATTAATGGGAACTCACTGTGTGGAATGAATGTTCTATAGTAAAGGGACTAATAGAGAGAGAGAGAGAGATGATAATATAAAAAATAATTTCCGAGTTCAATATTGTCACAAAGAGGTTGGATTTTCGAAAAATTGGAAAAGGGCTTAATTATGATTAAATGATTTTACATTTAAAATAAAATCATTTTTTCAAAGATATAAATAACCCAAAATAGTGATTATGGACTCGATTCATCTGACGTCATAATCACATGTGACAATAAACGCTTAACAAATTCCCACGTGTTTGATCGACTGAGTATTTTGGCGGCATTTTCGGATTTGTATCTACTCTATCATATAACAAAATGAAATCCTTTCTTGGCTTTAACTTAAAAAAAAAATAATAAAATTTTAGTGTGTTACTTATAGTTGTATAAATATGTTTTTTCTTTTTATAATTTCACATTAATATTTCTTTATTTTTATTGAAAAATTGCAATTCGTAAATTCTCGAAACACCTATCGCTAAATTAAGTTGCTTGGCGATCGATTCCGGTTACCAAAAAATTGACCTCCCCAAGCCCCCCCCCCCTTCTAAACTTTAAAACTTAATTTTTCAGCATAAATGATTTTCTTACATTGAACGATTCTTAATTTTTTGAAATACAACGTGGCTGGCAAACAAATTACTGAACCTAAAAGTATACAAAAACACATGACACGAGGTCAGAGATTAACAGAAGTATAAACTAAGCTTGAATCTAATAATGTAAGCTAAAATTATGCATATATTTAATAACTATACAAAAAGTAAAAGACTAGAAAATATATTAAAAATATTTAGAGCACTAAAAAAATTTAAAGAATATAAAATTTGAATATAAGCAAAATCGACAGTTAGCACACAACCACAAGTGTAATACGAATAGCTATTATTGTTTATTTGATAATCAGGCGGCAATTGCTGAACGAGCACAGCGCCCTCTGGGGATGAATCGAACCCATTGATAAGTGAGTATGCGCGCGTTTTGTGAACAATATAATGTACATATTGCAACATTTCAAAGCACCTGCTCTCTCTCTCTCTCTCGTCGTATCCAAGCTTTTCTCCATATTCTGTTTTATCGTGCACTGTCATCTCGACCGTAGGTTTTAAAAAAAATTAATGTTAAAAAGTGGAAGCTGTACCGATGTTTTTTTTTTCTTGCAACTATTTAGTAGGGGTTCTCTCATCGCAATAGTTCTTATAAAGGGATAAGATGCCTGTGTTTCTTAAACAAAAATTATTTTCTTTTACCATAAAATAAAGTTACGTTGATCGGGGTTCGAGGATTTTATACAAATCAGTCGTAAAGAGCAAGACAATTCTTTAAGGTATCAGAATACGTTCGGAAAAATGATTTTAAAAAAGCGCATAAATGGATAATTTTCATGATATTTAGTGTCACTTAGATTAGAATACATGTATAAAATTGTTTTAAGGACATTATGACAAAAAAATTTATTTAAATACAATATTTTGCCAAAAAACTAACTTAGAATAACCTTTTTTCCAAATGTTCTCCTTTTGTAAAAAAGGCTTCTATTGTATTAATATTTTGCCTGTATATAGCTCAGACCTCTGTGCAGAGGCTCAGCTACGATTTTTGAAAAATTCAAATTATTTTCAAAGTTACAACCATTTGAAATAATTATCGGCGTATTTTCTTAAAATTTCTCCCTTCTGTTTTCGTAAAACATGGATAAACCGACTTCCGAGTTATGTATTTCAAAAATTCTAGTTCACAAAAGAAGAACATTTGGAAAAACTATTTTTCTAAGTGAATTTTTTGCCAAAATATTGTATTTAAATAAATTTTTTTTGTCAAAATGTCCTTAAAACAATTTTATGCATGTATTCTAATCTGAGTGACACTAAATATGAAAATTATCCATTTATGCGCTTTTTTAAAATCACGGTTCCGAACGTAGTCGGATACCTTAAAAAAATTAATGTGTTACAAACAAAATATTTTTTAACGACTTATGAAATTTCAATTCATTTTTAAACGTTTCTTTTCATGCAATCCCTGTCCTCCAGACAAAAACAGGTTTAAATGTTTAGTTGTGATAAATTTGATTTTGCAGTTACAAAAAATAATGCATGTTACTCATTATAATGATGCTCTACATTTCCTGAAAAATTACGCTAATAATAAATAATTCAAAAAAAAAAAAAAAAACTCAATAACTTGTGTAATATTCAGAAAAATATGAGCATAATAATATTTGATATTAGCAATAGAAAGAAACCCATTTATGTGGAAAAAAATTAATAATGTGAAAACGTACAATTATACATTTATAACTATGAAATAATTTTTATTTATATTAAAAATTTGAATCAATACATATCACACGCTTCGATAACGCTAATTTGAGAAGTATCATTGAAAATTTTATATTCTTTATATATATATATATATAAATATTATTACTTAGCATGTCCAATTTATTTATTTTTAATTTAATATAAATCTTCTCGTTCTTAGATTTAATTAAAAACATATTCCTTTTTATTCAAAAGATATTGATTAATTCATTAGAAATTATAATTAGTTGAGTATCATAATTATTTTAAAATATATTGTCAGAAGTATATAACGACAAATAGTATAAGTATATTGTCAAACTGCCAATATAAATAAATTTCTTGATTATGTTTCCGTTATGAATAAAAATATATTTAATCATTTTTATAAGTTAATCACATCCTTTACATTTTTGTAAGAAAAATTAACGATTGTGTGTTACTTTTACATTTTGGGGTATATGTGACGTAGCTATAAAATTAATTATGTACATAAATTTATTACATATACGTATAACTTAAGGCCCAGTGGCCGAGTGGTAGCGTATCGCGTTTCCACACCACATATCTGGTGTTCTATCCTCGGGCTGGGCAAGGTCGGTTCAGCCTTTCATCCCTTCAGTGGGCAGATAAATGAGTATTAAGCTTGCTTAGGGACTAAACACTGGGGGCTTCGCTTCAGACTGACCAACTGATCGCGATATCTGCTCATGCACTTCAGCACCCAAGGTCACGTATACTGACATGGGCACAATAGACGTTCACCCTCATGGGCTGTCGTGACACTGAGTTAAGTTACATATATCTTAAGGCTCAGTGGCCGAACGGCTCCACAGGTCCGGTGTTCTATCCTCAGGCTGGCCTAGATCGGTTCAGCCTTTCATCCCTTCAGTGGGCAGATAAATGAGTATCAAGCTTGCTTGGGGACTAAACACTGGGGGCTTCGCTTCAGACTGACCAACTGATCGCGATATCTGCTCATGCACTTCAGCACCCAAGGTCATGTATATTGAGATAAGCACAGTAGGCGTTGGCCCTCATGCGCTGTTGCGCCACTGGACTTAGTTTTAAGTTTACATATAATTTCGCGGAGTAAATTTTTTTTAATATTAGCCAAAAAATGAAGTAATTATTCATATGCTGCAGTAAATTGCTCGTCAAAAATGTATAATTAATAATGCGTACTCTACACCCTCTGACAACAAAGTTCGGTGAATAGTGTAACATTAACATAACGAAACATTAACGAATTAAATACTGTCCTTCCAAATAGACCTCCCATAACTATGCACCGCTTAGATCTGCTATCCATGTCCTGGAAATTTTGCAAGAAGTC